GAGGTGCTGTTGCATATGTCACTAGGGTTTGTTGGTTGCTCCTAGGGCGTGTCGTTTGGTCCCGGCCACGTGGTGAGGGCGGAGACGAGCTCAGACAAGGTGTGGAAGGTGGTGGGTCCAGAACTGGGCCAAGGCGCAGGGTGGAAGAATGGCAGGTCAGTTTGGTAGGCCAAGGTCCAGAACGACTCAAGTATGTCCTGGATAGGACGGTGCATACCAGAGTGGGTCTGCCAGAGCTTCGAGTCCAACTGAAGAACAAGCAGCGCCTCCTAGGGGAAGGGGATAATTTTACGGTTGAGCCACTTCTGTATGGATGGACGCAGCCTGGTGACAATTCACCCCAGGAGATCTCCACTCCCCTATGCTGCTACAAAGCGAAGGTGGGTGTGGCCTGTCTAAGGGCCAGAGTGGAGCTATCACCATTGGGCCTGGCTTCTCATCGATTGGAAAAAGTTACGGCCCACAGGCTTCACAGCCTGACTGGTTGGCTCAATGGAGAGCTCTTCGCTGCATCCCCTGCCAGAAGGATGCTAGCTTACTTTGGCTTCAGTCCCTTCAAGTGATTCCTTCGTCCCTGTGGCTGTCTCGGAGGGGGATGGACTTGTCCATCACTTGCATGACATGCCAGTGGGGCTGGGAATCTAACTCCCATGTTTGGATACACTGTCCGCTGTCGGATGAAATTTGGGCATGGTGGTCCAAACTTTGGAGCGAACTGTCAGGTGGGGACTTCACCTGGACGGATGACTGGATTTTGTATGGTCAACTACCAGACCCCAAACTGAAGTACTCAGAGGGGTGAGGATATGTGGCCCGGGCCTGCAGAGGAGCAATCATGCAAGTGATATGGCAAGCACGCTGTCTTCAAAGGAGAGAAGATCTCACAGCAACAACAGCAACATCAAATCCGGTCCAACATCAGACTCCTCATCATTGCGGATTGGAGGACATGTAGAGGTCCCAGTGGTAGGGGCCGTCCGTGGTTCCTCAAAACCTGGGCCAAGAATAAACAAGTAGCATCTACTTCTCAGGATGACAATTTGGTTATCCCCAACTGGTTGCGGTAATCCATGGAGTGAAACAATTTGATCAGCCAAAGGACTGGAGACTTTCCTTCCTTTTTCTGAGCTTAACGTTACAATGTTTTTGGAAAGTTTTGGGTAGGAAAAAGGGGACACTGGACCCGGTTTCCAGTAAGTTTTGTTTTGGACTACAGCCGAAGCTGGATAAAGACCCAGTATATCCCGGGTTGAATTGTGAGGTCCCCGACCTCTTTTCCTATGTTTTGAAATATATCTGGAATACTTTCCAAAAAAAAAAAGAAAAAAAAGTGAAAACGCCACACCACAAGTTGAATTCCTTGTGGAGTCCTTGTGGCCCCAGCCAAATTTTCCTTATCTAGCTCAAGGAAGCGCGATTTCCGGAGCCGCGAAGACATGCGTCGATGGAGGCCTTCGTTTTTTTGGTGGTCCAGACGGGGTCCGACGCCGTAAGGTCAGACATCCCCGGGCGCCAACGTCTCTGTAGTACCGCAATGGCCTCCAACGGTTACCATTGGCACTCGGCCGCTTCCTGGGTGGGGTCGTCGTCTTCAGCCGGGTTCAAGCGGCCTCCCGCGCTGGAGAAGCGTCGGCAATGGTTGGGAAATTCAAATATCTCCCCCCCCCCCCCCCCCCCCCCCTTTTTCTCTCTCTCTCTCTCTCTCTCTCTCTCTCTCTCCCCCCCCTCTCCCCCCCCCCCCCCCGCTTGCACACCGTGCTCCTTCTTCTGGACGGAAGCAGCTTCTGCCCTGACGTGGTTTTGTATCTCCTGTCGCCGCCTGCTGCACAAACAACAAGAGTCTTGCCTTCTCTGTCGTCAGTGTTGTCGCTCGCTGGACGTCCGACAACAAACGTGGCATTGTTGCCGTCTCCGCCGTGTCGTTCATGGCCGACCTGTGCCGCAGGCTCCCTCAGCTGCTCCTCCTCGCTGTGCTGCTTTTGGTTGTCCCCTTGTTCCACGTGTATTTCCTGGGGCGGTTGCCTGGAGCTACACACAAGAGGCGGTCGTCGACGAAGGGCGACGAGATGGACCGACGTGTGACAAAGAGCACACCGACAAGTCGTCGAGGAAGGGCGACGAGATGGACCGATGTGTGACAAAGAGCACACCAACAAGCACGCCAGGAGGGTCATCGACCCACCAGGGCATTGTGGGTAGTGCAAACAGGCAGCCATACAATCCATCATTATACTCTCATCTGCCTTCACATGAGATTCCTTTGCCGCCAATCATCGTCGATTCTACCCAACGAGGGGACGATTGAAGTATACCCCGTCTGGGATTTGATTGACCTTTGTGTGTCATCTTTCGTTTTCGAGTTCGAAGGCGACAGATTGATATACATGGATGCCAATTACAGGTCAATCGCCCTGCCGGCCCTGCACGGCAGACCGTACATGACCAGCCGTGTGAAGGTTGGTGAGAGGGGGAGCACATTCGTGTTCAGCCGCGGCTGTGTGGGAACCTCATCTTGAGTGGGTAGATGGCTTCGCCAGGCAGTCCACATGGGTGGCGCGGGGGTGTTGGGCGAGGAGGGGAGTGGGGGAGAGACTTGGTGGGGCGGAAGGGAAATTTCGCTGAATGGTTATGTTCAGGGGGGGGAGTTTCCATGGGGCGGGGTGGAGGAGGGGTCGCCTTTTATGGCGAGGGTCGTTCATGGTTTTGAAGGCGAAAGCGGGGATGTTGACGCGTTTGTGGAGCAGGGTGGGTCGGGACGGGAGGGATGCACGTGATTTTCACGTCCATGAAAGTCAAGAGGCGGTCCTGGATGTGGAAGCGGGATGTGTCAACGTTCGCATGATCTTCAGCCGGCGAGTCCACCTTCCGTTTCACCTGTGCATGAGGGTCCCCGTGTCGTGATTGCGTCGCGAGAAGATAAAGCAGACTTCCTGGTTGTCGATGCGCACTTCACCTCCACAGCGTCGTCACCTCTTTGTCATCGCCATGAAAGAGTCCGTCGTCCACATTGACATAGATCATTGTTTTCCGACATTTGCTGTCGAAAGATCTTCGAGGTAGCAGGGTGTTGTCAGCACTCATGGATCCTTGCAGGGGCGTCGTCTGCCAACATCAGCATTGCTCACCCTTTGGGAGTTCTGCGGATGTGGACCATTCTCGGCCCAGCGTTGTCGACGACAGCGCTCAAGGAGCTTTCTCGCCGCTCTCCAACCCATGAAACTCCACGTGCAGCTTTCCCGACTCAGCGAATTCCTTTGGAGCGCGCCCGGATCATTTATCGCTGTGGGCAATCGCGCGTCCGCAGCACACGTACACGTTTATCGACATCCCGCAATCAACAACGTTCAGACTTCCTGGTGGTTCGCCATCTTTTGCCGTCGCGATTCCATCGTCGGCACAGCCAACGTGTTATGCAGCCTCCAGAGAACGACATGTCGACTAGAGGCAGTGCCCATGGGAAGAAGGGGGATGCCATCCCGGAGGACACTGGAAGCCAGGAACGCGGGCGTCGCCACGTCCCCAAGGTGAAAAAGGGGCGTCACGAAAGAGCCTCCGATTACAGAGGAGCCGTGGGGATGGATGGGTGGTGAAGACCATCGCACGTAGAGGACGATGACGACTTCATGACGGAGGAGGACAAAGCGGCGGAGGAAGTGCGGGCGACTGTCCAAACCGTGTCATCAGCAGCAGCGTCGAGAAGAGACGAGGAGACAGAGAGAGCCTGCAGTGCCACCATCGCTGACTACGGCTCGACGACAGACGCTTGGACGGGAGGAGGCAGTGATTGACGTTGAGGTCACTGATGAGGCGCAGATGGGGGACATTCCCACCAGCGGTCATGTCCAAGGGGGTCGTGCAAGTGCGTAATGACACGCGCTGCTGCTGTCGAAGCGCCGACCCATCACGTCAGCCCGAGACACCGACGACCCAGTGACGGCGGCATGCAGCGGAGGGTGGTGATGTTCACCCTCATGTGCATGCAGGCGGGGCCGAGATCGTCTCCGCGAGTGGGGCTGCAACGTCGTGCGGGGCTGAGATCGTTGCCGTGAGTGGGCCTGCAACATCGCGTGGGGCAGAGATCATCGCTGCAGCCAGGGTTGCGACTTCACACGGAGGCGAGGCCATTGCCACATGTGGGGCAGGAACATCGCGTGGGGGCGGTGGGGTGGAGGATTAGAGAAGACGGTTAGATGGAGCCTTCAAAACAGGGACTTGCTTAACGAGGATGCTCATATCACATCGGTAAGCAATCGCCCTGGCCACACCTGAGGGTTTTTGGCGGCAATGAAGGAGATGTTTCATTCCAGTGGGATGGTGGGGGTTGAAAGGGCCGCACAGATGGCGCATCCGGCGGTTGAAAGCAGGGCTTGACCCTCACCTCATCGCTTTTCATCCAACGATGTGTGCGGCTTTGCTAGAACCAAAGCCC